TTTTTTGTTGTTGTTGAATTTGGTTTTAATGTATGTAATTTGTAACAACTTGGTTCAATTTGGAAGGGTGTTTTATTTGAAGTAGTGAAATATGGTGTTTTGTATTTAAAGACACCTTTTGGGATATTGTTGATGGTTATTTTTGTAATGTTGGTTTAATTGCAATGGAATTATCAAGAATTAGTAATGATGGTATTGTAGCATTGCCTGAAGTTTAAATTTAATGGTTTGTTTTTAAGATTAAAACCATCAGTGCAGCAAGTATGAATGTCAAAGCATACCAAAATTCATAAACATACATATATTAAGGTCAAAGTTTTTAAAGACTTTAATACATATGGTATGAAATTTGAAGGAGTTAAATATATATGCTAAGAAAGTTGAAAGACTAAACAAGAGAAAATGATAACATAAATTGCTTGTGGTGAAGCAATATGATTCAGAGAAATTACTGGGGAGGAAAATCATCTGGATAACGCTGAAGGTGCCAATTATACATCCTATCAACCATATAATTATAGTGTTGTTGACGTTCATCCATCTCTTGTATTCGACGATCCATAGATTGAATGGCAGATAGAATATCAGCATTGTCTACTTGTACATGCAGTTGTCTTGTGAAATGTTGGTCCTCTGTCTCCTCTTGGTCTGCTTCAAGTGCTACGTCCTGAAGAACAGGTTGTTGTTGGGGTACATCAGTCAATGACTGCAAGGGGAAACACCAGGTGGTTTCATCCTTTACTGTATAGTGTCAGTTTGGCAGTAAGTGGTTCACTCCTGTCTGGCTAACAATGAAATAAAACATGTCATCATTGTCCTTAGTAATACAGTGCATTGCATAACAAGTATTAAAATTAATCCTTCTAGGAGGTCCGATATCCTTATAACAGAGGGAATCACAGGCGTGATTGTGAATCACGGCCGTGATTCTCACGGGTCTGGCGGGTTGAAGTTAACATGTTTTTATTGTGACTTATAACAGAGGGAATCACGGGCGTGATTGTGAATCACGGCCGTGATTCTCACGGGTCTGGCGGGTTGAACTTATCATGTTTTTATTGTGACTTATAACAGAGGCAATCATGACCGTGATTGTAAATCACGGCCGTGATCCTCACTGGTAGGACTTAACGTAAATCTCATTCTGACGGGTTGAACTTAATATGTTTGTGATTATGACGGGTTGGACTTAAAATGTTTCTTTATTACGGCTTGGACTTAGTTAATATTGTCAATTACCACACTTAGTTAATAGTGTCATTTACCAGACTTAGTTAATAGTCTCATTTACCACACTTTGTCATATTGTTTGGCATTCTGTTATTCTTGCATTTGAAAAAACTATAAAAAAAAATGATCATAATAATAGCGTATTTCATTTGTTGAAATATAAGTAGCCAAATGTTGTAAATCACAATAATAATAGTCTCCTACATTAAGTATTGTCATATGATGACCAATTAATATTGTGATGCAAAACATAATCTCAAAAGTCTGCTACATCATAAGTCACCAATACAGTCTAAACACAAAAAATTTTAAACCCTAAACACTAAAACCAACAAGCAACAATCTTCAACTTTGTCATGGTTTCCAGTGTGGTCGTGCTTTCCTAGGCTTCAACTTCTCCCTGGGTTGGGCCGCCTCAGATGCTTGTGTGGGTTGAGATACCTGGGTGGGCTGAGATGGTTGTGTGGGTTGAGATACCTCGATGGGCTGAGATGGTTGTGTGGGTTGAGATACCTGGGTGGGCTCATTTGTATGGGTGGGGTGAGATACCTGGGTGGGTTCAGATACATGGGTGGGCTCAGATGGTTGGGTGGGGTGAGATACCTGGGTGGGCTCAGATGGTTGGGTGGGGTGATGTGTGTGAATTGGGTTTTCCTTACAGGTTGATTTGTTATGGCCAAAACTCTTGCACCTACTGCACTTTCTCCTACATCCCCTCCTTGTCAATTCAGTGTCATCCTTCTTCAGTTCCCATGGCTCCAAATTCCTTCTTTTCTTAGGGCGTCCTGGCATTTTCTTACATGGTGGTGGAAGAACATTAGGGCACCATGTCTTGGTCCAGAGTTGCTGACCATTTAATGGATATATCATTGATTGATATACAACTTCATATGTTGCCCTCTTGTAATATTCTGGCACAAAAACCTTTGGATCCAAATTCATATACCTCATACATGATATAGCATGGCAGCAGGGCAACCCAGTCAACATCCATTTTCTACAGCTGCATTCCTGCACTTGCAAGTTGATAGTATATTTATCTCCTATCAAGTTGACATTTTTGACCTCAAAAACTTGCTCTCCAGCCCAACTGAAAATAATATGTTAACTCATTATAAACCAATAATGGGTTAATCTAAACAATTCAAACCATGTGAAATATACCTTGGGACCACACCAAAACCAACGAACCCAGTGTTTGGGACCACACCAAAACCAAAATCTCCCCAAAACAGGAAATATGGAAGAAATTTGTGCCATAACTTTACAGAATTATCAAACCATATGATTAATTGTACGATCAACATGATGTTTTGTTTTTGTCGATATGGAGTGTTAGAATGATGGCTATAAAAATTGAACTTAAGTCCATATATTTTAATTTCTATCAATGGATGAGCCTAATTATTTGTATTGTGATGCTTTAGTTATAATAATGAATATTTATTATTGGACTTTTTAAAGTTAAATTCTAATTAATATTTTTTAGTTATACTTTTTTTGGAAAGGCAATAAATAGAAATATGGTGGTGATGAAGAGTATGCTAAGATGCTTTGAGTTTGTTTTGGGGCTAAAGGTTAATTTGTTTAAGAACTCCTCTGGGGCAATTGAGGTTAAGAGAGGAATTATGGAAAGATATGCAAAGATTTGAAGTTTAGGTTGATGATCATTCTTTTTACATATTTGGGATTACCGGTGGGGGCTAACCCAAGAAAGGAAGTTATGTAGAAATCAATAGTGTTGAAATTCAAAAAGAAATTGTCATCTTGGAAGCACAAGGTCTTATCTTTTGTTGGGAAGGTGTGCATAATCAAATTAATACTTTCTTCACTTCCTTTTACTTTATTTGTTCCTTTTAATTTTAAATTACCTTCATCTGTCGAGAAAAGAACTTGTGAGGATTCAAAGAGACCTTTTGTGGGGTTTAGGTGGAAAAAAAAAAGTTGGGTGAGTTGGAAAAATATTTGTTCTCCAAATAGTAAAAGGGGGAGAGGGGGTTAGGAGTGAAGTACCTTGGGTTAATGAAGCATTACTTGCTAAGTGGGGTTAGGTCTTTTTTAGTGGTCAAGAAATATTCTCTTTGGAAAAGAATTGTGGAGTCAATATATGGGGGTCGGAGATGTCTTAAAAGTAGTTGCGATAAGTTTTCTTATATATGATGGATTTGTGGGGAAAAATGGTTTGAAAATTGGAAGGAGTGGAAATTTTGCAATGGACTTAATAATAGATTTTGGGAAGATGGGTGGGTTGGTGATGATAATTTAGCTTCATTAGTATCAAGTTTTTCTTGATTCCCTACAAAGAGGGCCAATATTAATGACATGGATGAGTGAATATGATGAGACTTCTCTTGACGCAAATCCTGGTTTGATTGGGAGAATCATCAGGTGGAAGTGCTAGAAAATTTAATTAGAAACCAAAAGCATAATGAGAAGGATATATGGTATTGGTTGAAAGATAATTCAAGTGATTATACAATGAGTTCGACATATAAAACACTACACGATTTGAGATATGGGAATAATGTGGATGACTTCTTAAGTCAATTATGGAAGCTTGAGGTCCCGACGAAGGTGCAATGCATGTTATTGAAAATGTTTCTCAACAAACTTCCCACACGAGATAGTTTACAAAAAAAGAAATTGTTTGCAGCTTGAATATGAAGTTCAATGTGTTTTTTGCGGCCAATATGAAGAAACTGTGAATCATTTATTTTTGAATTGTGTTGGAATTACAAAGTTGAGGAACAAAGGAAGAAACTATGGAATATCAATGCTAGCTCCATTTGTGAACATTTTGTGTAGAAGCCCCCTTGTATGCCTAATAAATTGGAAGTCAATTGGTGGAGGATTGTATGATATGCCTTAGTGTGAAGTATTTGGAAAGTGAGAAATAATTGCATATAATTTAATGGTCAAATAGTTAACAAAGAAGAGTATTGGGAAACTTTTATTTTTAATGCATATCTTGGTTGTCTGAATATTGTTTGGCAATTTTTGGGTACTCTTTAGGGTAATTGATATGAACCCAGAGGGATGGATTCGTTTCGTTTTACGGATCTATCTAGGTTGGAAAGTTCATAATTAAGAAACTAAAAGAAAAAAAATATGGATTGAAGTAAGAAATGGAAGAACAATGTCACAATCCCTAAAGATTGATAAGTTGAGGAAGATTCGCCACTTTGAATTAGGAAATTCAAGGATAAGAATCAAAAGTAGTTCCTAAGAACCTAAAGAGAAAAAATCCTCTCAATTGGAAAAATATCCAAATTATATATAATTCATTTTTTCTTCGTCTAAATTTTTTACAAAAGGTTCCTATTTATAAGCTTAGATGGACAACATGACATAAATTCCCATTAACACTTAATATCCACTAGAATTGATTCCTCACTAGCCCACTAACTAAGCAATAAATTCCCACTAGCATTTATTTTCCCTTAGCAACCTAAAAGGCAAGGAAACACATCAAATTTATTTAATAAAATAAAATAAAATGAAAATTATATTAAAAAATAAGATAATGGACTTATTTAATTATTCAGCCTCAAATTACTTAAATTCCAGCCCATTAATCTTTCTTCTTTATCATATGACTTTGGGCTTGTTAGTCTTCAATTTTACCCTGCTGGATTCATATCATACCCTCCTTCTTTAAGAAGATTCGTCCCGAATCTTAAGACTTTATTTATTTCCTAATTTATTTAATTCACTAACTACTATAGAAATGCAAATGCTTCATCTTGGGTCGAAGACATCTCGCTTGTATCCATCTTTAGCTTCACTTGTTGGTAAGTTATTAATCATCCACGAAACAAATAAAACCTCTTTGAACTCATAACCACGAACATACTCAATGAATAGGAATTGAATCTCGTTCAAGTGGTAACTTTGGAAAACAGTAACTTCAAACAACAAATCAATTCCAATTTCCAAGTGTAGGGTCTCTTGAATTTTATTCTGAAACATGGGCTAGATGTATAAAGGTGCATTAGGAATGGTGTTGACATGCTTCTTGAAACAAGAAAACTTGTCCTCCTGTTCCTATAAATTTGACACATCAAAAGAAGAAAATGTAACGTTAGAGTTGTCATCTTCCTCTCTATGTTTCTCACCTTCTGCTCTCATCTTCTCTTCTCTTTCTTTTTTTATCTTTATTTTCAATTTCAGTTGATCCTCATGTACAGCGTTGGATGATAGACATATCAACTTAATCCTTCGTCCACCATGCACAAAAGAAATAGAAGGTCATTCAGGATTTATAATTTTATTATACAACCATGGCCTCCCTAATAACATATGGGATGTCTCCATGGGGGAAATATCACAAAGAACTTCATCTTCATATTTTCCAATAGAGGATTTAATCATTGCTTGTCCATTTGTAGTGGGATGACATAATTTCTCAACCGCCCTTATGATATCTAAAGCTTGAATATGAAGTTCAATGTGTTTTTTGCGGCTAATATGAAGAAACTATGAATCATTTATTTTTGAATTGTGTTGGAATTACAAAGTTGAGGAACAAAGGAAGAAACTATGGAATGTCAATGCTAGCTCCATTTGTGAACATTTTATGTAGAAGCCCCCTTGTATGCCTAATAAATTGGAAGTCAGTTGGTGGAGGATTGTATGATATGCCTTAGTGTGGAGTATTTGGAAAGTGAGAAATAATTGCATATAATTTAATGGTCAAATAGTTAACAAAGAAGAGTATTGGGAAACTTTTATTTTTAATGCATAGTCTTGGTTGTCTGAATATTGTTTGGCAATTTTTGAAGTACTCTTTAGGGTAATGGATTATAAGTCTAGGGATTGTATTAGTATGCGAATTTGATTTCCTATTGGAACATTAATCTTTTTGTAAAGATGTGTAGTTTGGATAAAAATGGTTTATAATAGTCATAGATAATAATCAAAACAAAATGATTTGTGGATGATGGAAATATAGTTGGTGCATGCAATTGATGGAATAATAGGGACAGTTAATATAAATTCTTTTTCCTTGGTGTATGAGTACATGTATAGAAGTGGTTACTAGCTATTAATTGGACATAACATTTAATATGGAGTAACCAACTACATAGAAATATAACTATATTTTAGACTTCTCTCTCTTATTTTTTTTTGGGTAATTAGATTTAAATTATTTTTTTTGGTAAAGAAATTCATATTATTTAAGATAAATTAAGAAATTATTCAATTTTGTTAACATCGATTAATTAATTTGAATAACATGTAATGTGATGATCAGTAACTTGCTTAGCATCTATTATATGTTCTTATTTGTCGTGTTTATAAAAGTTCTTATCCTCTTATGCAAATAATGAGAAATCTCTGTCGCTTCTGTAACGACCCGACAGGCCGCTACACTTCAATCACAGCATACCGGAAACACTAGACAGAATAGAACGAATATATAAATATAGAGTCTAGAATATAAATATATACATATGTCCCGAGTCCGACTAGAGTTAGGGCATGCAAAACAAGGATTACATCAGAAGTCACTATGCCAAGTGACTAAAACAAACAAAACATCCATAAAAGTCAGCTCCATCTATCAGCTGCCGACTCATCACTATCCACCTCCTATCCCTGCTCTGCTCCCGTACATAGTACGATCATAGCAGTCCAACCACATGGAAACACAAAAGGTAAGCTAGCATAAAGAAACAACATATAGAAAGATTTTTAAGAAAATATAAACAACCACGACTATTTACACTTCATCAACATACATTCCCTCGGTTTTTAACATTAACATCAATAAGCATACAATGCGTCATCACGCATATGAACTCGGAGATCTCCTACAACAACTCAGCCTTTCGGCCTACAACAACTCAGCCTTGACGGCCTACAACAACTCAGCCTTGCAGCCTACAACAACTCAGCCTTACGGTCTACAACAACTCATACCAACATTCCAACACAACTCAACTTATACCTCTCAACACAACAACTTACAACACAACACAAATGTACAGCTCAGCATATCAACTCCACAGTTCAACATATCATCTACAACATAACACCACTTCTCAACACATTCACCAGATATAACTCAATGTCACAACAACTTATCTACTAGTCATCATTTCATAACCTTCCATTTCCATTCAACTCAACATGAAACATCATACATAACAGTCTCATCTCCGCGCCCGGCGCACACGTGGTTGCGCCCAGCGCAGCGCAACCAGAGAGCACCAGGGGACCAGCGCGCCCAGCGCAGGTGTACCCGCGCCCGGCGGGACTCAGCCAGAGAACCCAAAGCTCTCTCGCGCTTGGCGCCATGGCTATTGCGCCCAACGTTGGCCAGACAGAGACTCAGAGGAGTCTCACGCGCCCGGCGTACCTAAACCCGCGCCTAGCGCGGGGAAGGCAGAGACCTCCCTTGGTCTCGCGCCCAGCGCACTTCATTTTGCGCTCAGCGCCCACGAGGCAGAGACTCCCAAGGAGTCTCACGCCCCCAGCGTGCCCAAACCCGCGCCCAGCGCGGGCCAGCCAGAGACCCACATCTCCAAGCGCGCCCAGCGCATTCATCATTGCGCTTGGCGAGCTTGGCCAAATGGGGTCTCCTGGTGACTACGCGCTCAGCGCGAAGAACCGCGCTCAGTGCGAAGCTCAGCAGCAGCCAACCATTTTCAAAAAAATTCTTCAAACAATCTGCAAAACAACCAGAACTCCACATGCAATCGGTTCAAATTACCACAATTTCATCCAATATTCCAAAAATACCACCTTTTTCAACATGCAACAACAATTCAAAGATTTTCCCCAAAATTTCTCAGCAACCCCGAAACCCTAAAGAAAACAAGCTTTCTTTCAATTTCAGCCATGAATCAGACACCAACAAGCATCTAATGAGTTTATAGAACTCGTCCACAGTCAAGGACAGCGAAAAAGAAACAAAAATACTAGCTTCCCTTACCTCGGGTGAAAATTCCGAGCTCCGGAAAGCTTGAGCGGAAGAGAAGAGTAAACTAGGGAGCTTGAATGCAGGAGGAAGGAGAGGGGAACCCAACACCAGCTAGCACACCTCACAACCCAGCACCACCACCTTGAGTTCAAACGAAGGGGGAAAGAAGGGTTCAGTTCAAAAATGAGAGGGAGAGGGTAGGGCCTTGTGGAAGAAAAGAAGAAAATCAGAAGGGGGTCTCACAGCTTCTCCTTCTGTGGCGTTGCAATGAAATTATACACATGAATTCAAGCTTTTCATTATGTAGCAAATGACAAATCCATGTATAATACACATATAATTCTAAACTATTCTTATATAAAAATAAAAACTTATTATGTATAATATAATAACTAAACCATTAGTTAATTTATATATAAGTGTTGTCCACAAATTAAAATTTCTTAACCTATCAATGCTATTATGTTTAATAACACATTTTAAAACAAAATTTTAGATAAATGGTTGATGAAAACATGCTACAACTAACATTATGTATCGTGTAATTAGATTTATATTTTATTTTAACAATTTCTTAAAACCGATATCTATTCATTAATTTGTGATTAGGACTAGGATTGTATTTAGTCATATAAATCCCATATTTATAATACCCAATAATTTATTGTGGTCCAGATGTTTTATTTCATAATACATGTCAGTAATTACAAATAAAATATTTAATTTGTAGATGCATTTTTATTTACCTACGAAAGAAATGCAAAGATACCCTGGCAAAAAGAAGAAAAAAAAGTTTTTTTTAAACCAAATTTAGTGACGAAATATTGGTTTTCCTTATCCAAAACTACAAAAATTCTAATGACAATTTTTAAAAGTAAAATATATAAATTCTTCTTCTTTTTTTCAGTGATAATTGCAACTCATTAGTGTTTTTTATTTATTTATATTTTTTATAATTTATAATATTAAAGTTACTTAGTTATAATGTAGTTAGAAGTTACAGATTAATTATAAACTTGGTTAACAGATAAGTCACTCTTTAAATTGTATATGAAACAAGTACGAGTCTATTTTGAATAAACATTTATATAAGAGGAAAAAAAATAAGAAGGTAAAATGAAATATTTTTTATAAGTTAATTTTAATTTATTTTAAATTAATTTGTAGAAACTCTCATTTAATTTTTTCAAAAGTTAAATTTAACTTATATATAACCTAATTTTAATTTATAAGAGAAATTAAATTCCTATGAGTACCTTTTAAGAAATTGATCAAAACAAGTCTTTATTGTAATTAATTATTCTCATTACATTAGTAGAGCAGACACTACTACAAGAAAACGGTGAATAAGCGGCGAAAAATAAGCGTCGGCTAATAGCTGACGCAAATAGTGTTGGAAAAGTCGACGCTATTTTAAGATGTAGCGTCGGCTTTTTCGACGCTAAACTTAAAATAAATTTTAATTAAATATTTTAAGTTTAGCATCGGAAAAGCTGACGCTATTATTTAAATATAGCATCGGCTTTTTCAACGCTAAACTTAAAATATTTAATTTAAATTTATTTTAAGTTTAGCGTCGGCTTTTTTGACGCTAAACTTAAAATAAATTTAAATTAAATATTTTAAGTTTAGCGTCGAAAAAGCTGACGCTATTATTTAAATATAGCATCAGCTTTTTCAACGCTAAATTTAAAATATTTAATTTAAATTTATTTTAAGTTTAGCGTCGGAAAAGCCAACGCTATTCTTTAAATATTGCGTCGACGTTTCCGACACTAATTTAATTTAAATTTAAATTAAATTAGTGTCTAAAAAGCCAACGCTATATTTAAATAATAGTGTCAGCTTTTCCGACACTAAATTTAATTTAATTTAGTGTCGAAAAAGCCGATGCTACATCTTAAAATAGTGTCAGCTTTTCCGGCAATATACGTGCTTTGAGAGAGATAAAGATAATTTTTTCAATGTTATATACACATAATGTGTTCTAGTACACTTGGTTATCAAGTTCACTTAAGACCTCAAGGTTCACGGATCGAGTCCTAAGAATGTTAAAAATACGAACGAATAAATGATAAGCTGGAAAAAGAAGATAAAGAAAAAAATAAAATAAATTTTGTGTCAACATAGCGTCAGCTTAACCGATAATAAAAAATTAAAATAAATAAATTTGTTAGTGACAACTTATCTGACACAAAAAAAATTGTGTCGACTTATTTAGCATCGACCAAAAATCGACGAATAACCGACAATATTACGTTGGTTTTTATGAAGTTGACTCTAAATCGAAACATTCTTGTATAGTGTACATTTAACATGAGTCAAAATGGACACTTTAAGTCACTAGTGGAAAAAACACTTTTAAAATCGGTCATTTTTTACTTCTAAAATCGGTTCTCTGACCGATTTTAAAAGAGCGAATTTTAAAAAGTGAGACTTTTAAAATCGATCATTGACCGATGTTAAAAGTCTAACTCTTAAAATCGGTCATGCTTGACCGATGTTAAAAGTTAGACTTTTAACATCGGTTATGGAATGACCGATGTTAAAAGTCTAACTTTTAACATCGGTTATGGCATGACCGATGTTAAAAGTGATTAATTTTTTTTTATAAATATTTGACTTGTTTTAGGAGGATTGCTTAAAAAAACCTGCAAATTAATAAAATACCAGACAATTCATATGTTTTTAATGGACCAAATTACATACAAATGATAAAAGTTGGTAAATGTCAACCATATATGTAATCAAAGTAACTTACAAATTATTATGCATCCTAAACTACAAAATGAGTAAAACTATAAACATAACTTGTAGCTAGCCAATGTTTCAATGAAAAATGTAGCCCATTGCTCCCTAATGGTGTTTATATCTTCTAGCGACAATGGTGATCGATCTATAAATATTTGTTAAGAAAATTTAGACCAAAAATTTCATTAGCCATAATCAAGTGATATATCGTCATTTTTTCTTCAGCTGTGATTCTCTCTCTACACAACAGGTTAAACATTAAAGACCTCATTTATAACAAAAATAAAATAATACCATGAAAAACAACATTAATATTCTCATTAGTTCCGTCCACTACCTCGTGATCTCTGAAGGTTGAGTCAGGAGTGATAGATATTGTTTAAAAAAAATGTTAACCAGTAACTTAGGACACTAGTTAAGGAATCAAAAGTAGAAAAGAATTATAGAAATTTGTCATAGCACATTCTTCTGTGTAACTTTAATGTTATTTTTAATAAAAAAGTTGCTTATTGATTCTTTAATTAACCAGTGTTTTTAGATTACCAGTTAGCAAGACCTTGTTCAAATTATATCAAACTTTCACTAAGATCACATAGGATAGTAAATTCGAACCTGTAAAGCAGAACTAGTATCTGGATGTGTCAAATCATCCAATGATTTTTGAAAATCATTCTCATTTCTCTTGAGAGCTTCAGCTGCAACTTCCTTCTCAAACCTGGCTGAATCAATTGTATAAAGTCTGACTAGTTTTAGCATGTATAGGAAGCAACTTTATAGTCATAGATCATTAGCATTTAACTCCAATTTACAAGAAGAAATGCAAGCATTGTTTCAAGCTTAGATTAGAGAAAAAAGTAAGTTGTCTCCAAGTAAGTTGTATCATAACAAGTGATAAGGCTTGATCTGAAACTTGCAGCTGCATTAGAGAAAAATAATTTAAGTCATTGTTGTAAACATATAATTTATTTTGTACTTTGTCTCCCTTATTTTTATAAATTAAAAATCATTGCTCCTATTTTTTCTATTTACAATTTAGTCTAATAACTATGTAACTTTTAAATGATTATGGCTAATGAAATTTTTGGTCTACATTTCATTGCAAGCTAATCAAATGGGAAACTAAAGTTCACTCAATATGTGCATAAATATAACATCATATTAATTTATAAAAATCAAATAAAGCACCTAATTTTTCTAAACACTAAATTACTAGGTAGACATTAATTATATCACAAATTATTAATAAAATACAATATATAACACATACATACAAGGTGTCTAATTTTCTAAGTTGGGTACCTAATTTGTCTATATAAAGCAATGGTGAGTCAAAAAAGAAATTATAAAGGTGCCAACTTTGGAACAGGCCGTTCCTAAACTGGAACAGCCCGTTCCGGAATCCGAAAAATGCCTAAAACTGTATTCTGGAATGGCCTCAGAACGGCCTGTTCTGCTTGCAGAACGAACTATTTTTTTTGCAGAATGGGTCGTTCCAGATTCAAAATTCGCCCAGCAACAACGAAGTAAGAGACATGAGAAGAGAATGTTACCTTGATATTGTATTCTTCCAAGAAAATGAGAAGCTAGAGACTTTAGATGAGAGTCCGAGAGAACAAAGGAAATAATATATGAACCGTAGACTTAATCTAAAGAACATATGGAGCCAAAGATTAGAGAATGGAGGGAAAGGGAGAATGGGACCGTAAACTTTAGATAAGTTTTGACATTTTTAACATCGGCTATCTATGAACCGATTTTGTATTTAGTTTTTAAAATTGGTTCTTAAATAGCCGATTTTAAAAGTTTTACTTTTAAAATCGACTATTTAAGAGCCGATTTTAAAAACTACATACAAAATCGGTTTTTAAATAGTCAATGTTAAAAGTAGCACTTTTAAAATTGGTTATTTGAGAGCCGATGTTAAAAGTAGCACTTTTAAAATCGGCTCTTAAAGAGTCGATTTTAAAAGTAGCACGAGAGACCTTTAAAATCGGTCATAAGGTAGTCGATTTAAAAAGTAATGTCATTATTTACAAAATTTTCACCGCGTCACTTTTAAAATCAGTTATCTTATGACTGATTTTAAAATCCCGATTTTAAAAGTGATTTTTATACTAGTGAGTCAATTCTTGGTTCGATGTTGATCCCATTAATATAAAATTTGAACGCTTTCTTTAATGCTCTAGTCGCTACAGCAAGACATTCCTTCATTCATCTACACTTCCCTAAAGGTTAACAACAATATTTAGCTAATAACCTCAATGCTACCCTACAATATTGTTCCATTTCTCTATACCACTGCCAAAGTCATTGTCTCTAAAGCCTTTTCCTCCTCCCATTCCCTTCTCCACTGCAATGTTGGGCGAAGAGACTTCAAGTACATCTATATTTTCGCGCCACAAACACTAATGTAATACATATACCAAACATACAAATCAAAATGTATGATATATACAAATCCATTTTGAAGCAAACAAAAGAAAGGGGAAAAAATAGAGATTTACTTACCTTACACAAAATGGTGAGAAATGGAGAGGAAGCATTGTGGTCATTGTTGAAATTCTCGTATCAAAGACTAACAATAATAATGATGATTAGGGATAAAAATATATCATATTTTAAATAAGAATTTACAGCCTAAAGAAGAATTAGATAAAAAAAAATAAGATACATATAGGAAAACAAAGCTTCCATAAAAAAGAAGCAAATCAAAATGTTTTCTCTAAAATTCTTATAGAATTGAGAATGAAGTTTTCATTATGTACATGGTAAATCATGAATTAATAACAATATCCAATCTCAAAATAAAAAAAATCTAATTCTTTTGCATTTTCTTTCTTAAAAAGGAATATTTGCACAATTCTCATGAATAGAATCAAATCTTATTTTGTGATATTCACATAAGATTCCTCTTTTTGATTCTTAAGTAATTCATCAAGAGAGTTTAATTGATCCACCATTTATGTCTAGCTTTTCATGTATTTTTTGTTTGATTTGAGAGATATATTTATAAATTTTGATTCCTTTTTGATCAAGATGTACAAACCCATGAGTCTAGGTGTCTATATAGATCTTGTTCATGTATTAACAAAAATGAGTTACTATTGATATATTTAAGACCTAGCTTGATCTCATCTTCTTATTAAAAAGGTTAGAATTTTTTAAAAAATAACATTTATTTGAAAATGTTAGACTTGAAATTATAAAAAAATCTAATTAGCTTGATAGACTAATGTATTTATTTATATAATATAATAAAATATTTGATATACATATTACAGTATTAATAATATAATTAATTAAATAAATTCATATTACAAAATTCAAACTATATATGTACAGGTATACACACATTAATTAGTAGCCCAACGTTCTTTTAATATATTGTATTTTATGTTAATTTTTTAATTTAAAATTAAATTTTAATAGTAATTTTACATGCATATTAGAGAAAACACTCATTAGCCTTTTTCTTAAGAGCTCATTGACCTATTTGAAAATATATTTATTGACTTAATAAAAATCAAATTTGTTATTCTATTTAATCTCATTAATATTAAATACTTTTAATTAGATTAATAATTTATGTCATACCTAAAAAAAATCTATAATTAAATAATAGATTAGACTTAAGTTTTAATTTTATAGAATAGATTAGATTTATATTTTAAACTTTAACTTAATATATTCTCATTCTTAATAATGATGGTGACAATTATATCAACATCAAAATCATAAGAAAAACTTCCCAGAGAAATTTGGAGCGTCATTAATATTGTTGAAGAAGGCTTGTGACAAGCTTTGGGATAGAGAATTGAGAATGTACAGGAACCAAATCGAATTCTAGGAATGATTTGAATTTTCTTTTACACTGATTATAAATTGAACCGATGTAAGATATATGTTTACTTTTACATAGATTACACCTATAATAAAAAAAAAAAAATTCTACATCAACTGATGTAGAAAAGTAGTTAAAAATTTCAATAATATTACCACAATTTTCTTATTATATCAGTTATATATTAGATAATTAACATAAAATTTTTACATAAAATATTATTTTTTGAGTTAATCACTCATATATTATTAATGTAAATTTTTTTTATATTGACAACTAATCATATATTTTAATAGTGTTATATTATTTACTTATTTAATCAAATAAAAATAAAATAAAATAATTTAAAAGATATGATTAGTTATCAATATAAAAACTTTATACTAACAGTATATAAATGATTAACTTTATTTTTTTTTTACTAATATTATTAATTAATTTCAAATTTACTGATTTCTTTCCATTTTGCTCCTCTTTAGGGCATAATCATGTTTTCTACCAAATAAACTTTCAATTATGTTTTGACTTTTCAAATCTAACCTTGAATTGTTTTCCGATTTTCTGTCAATTCGATCAATAAGAGTGCCTCTTTATGCAATATAAAAGGTGTGGCTCATTCAAAAAAGGGGAGTAGTCGGTAAAAAAGGCTAAGCTATGCCACTTTTCAATAAATAGTATACAATTTAAAGAACAAATCAAATTCTCCAACGTTCTTACTTTCCATTTTCTAATTCCTTCAACCCTAAGCCTCGGGTCTAAATGCAATGGTATTAAATACTATAGCTTTGGGACACATAATCCTTGTCCATTTTTTTTTCTTTTCTTTTACCTTTAGAAAAAGTTGAATGGAGGATGAGGAGGAATTGTTGAACTTAAAAATAAAAATAAAAATCAAGGGTGAGAGAGATGAGTGGGGAATGAAAAAGTATTAAAGAGGAAGCAAAGAAGGGGAGAGTGGCACCTAAGAATTAAGGAACAATGCTTTTGGATATGTTTTTTATGAAGTGTGGGCACCTGTGTTATTCAATGTATGGTTGATAAATTGTGATGATGATGAAAAAAGTTACATATAGTGGTGCACCTTTGTGTGTTTTTAGAGAATGCGACGCATGCATGATACGCAATTGTCACATAGATAGATTGATAAATAAACTATATATTATATTCCAATTTCAATGTGCTACTAACTCTTCCCATCACCACTCACTTTGATATGGTTGTGAGAGGACCATCCACTTTGTAACTTAGTGCCGTTTGTGGTAACGAATTAATCGTCACATGATAAAAATTACAAGTAATTAATTTAGTGAAGTGAAGCCCTTATTGTGGGTTTAGAATCTCCACTCACTATTTTTCAGTAACTCAATATTGTTGCTTTTAGCTGGAAAGTAATAGGCAAAGGAGTTTTATTACTCAAAAGCCAATTTCCTTTTTTCACAAAATTAAATTAAATTAAAAACCCTTTTTTTTCTTTCATTATTTTTTGATTATAGTGGGACATTATCCTTATTATAAGACTATATGAGTTGGAAAAAAGTAGGGTGATTTCTATAAATTTTGGGGTTTTATTTTGTTTGGCTAGGATTTAGAATATCCTCTAACTAATCATTGAAGGCTAACTCATTTTGAAGTGTAGAGATTATTGAAGTAGATTTTTTTTTCAATAAATAAAGCCTTCTTCATTTGCATGACCATAGAATCAAATTCATGTAAATATGCTTAATGGTATGTTTGGATGAGGAATTTATATAGGGTAATTCATTTATTTGAAGAATTTCAAATTCTTTGAGGTGAAATGTTTTGTTTGGATGAAGAATTTACAAAGAATTTGAAATCCAAGCATTTGTGAAATTTCTTAAAATAGTAGAATTTTAAATTCTCCCAAAAATGGGAGAATTTGAAATTCTTCATATTTGTTTTTCTTATTTCACCTATATATTTTATTTCTTAAGCCTAACCATCCATATCGAAGGTTAAAGAAAGCTTTTAATGGATTTCAAGAATATGACATTGCTCCTACTGCATTAACAGGTGAGCAAGTTTATGCACGAGTGAAGAATTTAAATGTGGTATTTGGCAAGAAGGAAAAACAACCCAAAGAGAGAAACATATGGAAGAAGAGGTCGATATTATTTGATCTTCCATACTGGAAAGTTCTTGATGTTCGACATTGCATTGATGTCATGCATGTTGAGAAAAATGTATGTGATAGTCTAATTGGCACACTTCTCAATATCCAGGGTAAGACAAAAGATGGACTCAACTCCCGTCTAGATTTACAACACATGGGAATACGACAACAATTGTATCCACAATCTAAGGGTAAGCGAACATATTTGCCCCCAGCATGTCACACATTGTCAAAAAAGGAGAAAATAAGCTTTTGTGAGTGCTTACGTGGTATCAAAGTACCACACGGTTACTCTTCTAATGTAAATAGTCTAGTATCAATGAAAGATTTGAAATTAGTTGGCTTGAAGTCTCATGACTGTCATGTACTAATGCAACAATTCCTTCCCGTCGCTATACGTGACATTTTACCTAAACAAGTGAGACAAGTCATAACTAGCCTTTGCTTGTTTTTTAATGGCATATGTAGCAAAGTAATTGATCCTCAGAAGTTGGATGAGTTGGAAAATGAAGCTGTTATAATATTGTGTCAATTGGAGATGTATTTTCCTCCTTCATTTTTTGACATTATGGTTCACTTAATCATCCACTTGGTCAGGGAGGTTAGGTTGTGTGGTCCTGTCTTTTTGAGGTGGATGTACCCAATTGAGCGATACATGAAGATATTGAAAGGGTATGTGAAGAACCAACACCGTCCGGAAGCATCCATTATAGAAAGGTATATTGCAGAGGAAGCTATTGAGTTTTGTACTGAATACATGACCCAAGCTGAATCAATAGGCATTCCTAGGACTCGTCATGAAGGAAGAATTGCTGGGAAGGGTACAATAGGCACAAAACTAAAGAGCATGTCACAAGAAGAAGTTCTTCAAGCTCATTTATATATTTTGAACAATACCGATGAGGTTCTTCCTTATTTGAATGCCCACAAAGACTTGGTGAAGAGAAACAACCCTCGAATGCCTGAAAAATGGGTGTTGAACGAGCATAATAAGACTTTTGCTGAGTGGTTCAAAAAGAATGTTGGGACAAATTTAAATGTTTCTGAAACTTTACAACGCTTAGCGCAAGGGCCTAACTTTGATGTGTTTACTTTTTATGGATATGACATTAATAATTATTCATTTTATACAAAGGCACAAGATGACAAAAGTACCATGCAAAATAGTGGGATTATGATAGTTGCTCAATCTATGCATTTCGCAACCAAAAATGATAAGAACCCTATCACAGCATCGATGTCCTATTTTGGGGTTATTGAAGACATATGGGAGGTTGATTACGGTCCATTCCGAGTACCTGTATTTAAGTGCAAGTTGGTTGATAGTAATAGTGGTGTCAAAATTGATGAATTTGGATTTACCTTGGTGGACCTTAATAAAGTTGGTCATAAGGAAGAGCCTTTCATCATGGCTATCCAAGTAAAACAAGTATTCTATGTCACTGATCCATCTAATAATAAGTGGTATGTTGTTCTACAAGGTAAGAATAACAATGTATGTGACGAATTTGGAGATTCGACCGATATTATGGATACTCCTTCCTTTTCAATACATGTGGCACCAACTTTCAATGAAGATGATGATGTGGATGATGTGCATGCCACTCGTGATGATCATCAGGAAGGAATATGGGAGAACATTCCAACTTGATAATATTTCTAAAGTACGTTATTATAATGAACTAAAGCGATCAAACCAGGCCCGAGGTGCTTGTTTGAGGCCATAAAGAGCCTTTTGGAGCTTGCATACATGGATTGGGGAGTTAGGATCAGCCATTCTAGGAGGTTGTTCCATGTATATATTTTCAGAGAGAACACCATGTAAAAAGGCATTTTTGACGTCAAGTTGATGAATATGCCATTTCTGAACAAGAGCGACAGTGATGATTAATCGGATGGTTCCTAGCTTAATTACTGGAAAAAAGGTTTCAATATAATCCACTCCATCAACTTGGTGGTATCCTTTTGCAACAACTCGAGCTTTGAGGCGATCTAGAGATCCATCTGGTTTGAGTTTGGATTTAAAAACCCATTTAGAGCCAATGACATGCATATTAGAAGTTCGAGGAACAAGTTGCCAAGTTTGATTTTTGTGTAAAGCCTCAAGTTCTTCACCCATGGTAGCCTTCCAAAATTCCTTGAATTTGTAAAATTCTTCATCCAAACACACTAAATATCTTTAGAATTATATAAAAAATGAACACCTACATTCTCTCTCCACTCCAAAGTCTAAAAAGCGTAAAAACTACTATGGATTGCTTTTGATGTGATGCGAAAAATCACGTCTTTGATCTGTTTCCAAACACATTTTACATGTAAACTAACTATGTTAGACATTGTCGATAAAATTGTTTTGGAAGTTTTATAAGAAACTGTTAGAGAAACATAATATAATATTGAATGTTAATCATTGTATTATTTTTCTGAACTTTTGAGTTGCAAAACTATTTGTCAAATTTTATGAGCACATTATTTTTCTGAACTTTTGAGTTGCAAAACTATTTGTCAAATTTTATGAGCACATTATTTTAATATTTCACTCTTAAGTCATATTTAGATAAACTTCTCAATAAATATTTATGAAAGACAAAAATAAAGGTAAAATACTAAAATGAATTGAGTTTCTCATATAAGTTGAAATCAAGTTATACACTTCAACTTTTATAGAAGTTTTCTCATTTAATTTCTTTAAAAAAATTATTTTTTAACTTATACATAAATCACTCTTAATTTATAATAAAAATGTTTAATTAAATATATTTTTAATAAATATTTATCGAAAAATCTATAAAATCTTGATCTTAATGCATATAACACGACTAACACATTCTATCTATTTTGTAAAATTGTTAATTTAAGATAGGATTAAGTAATTTAAATTTTGAAAACTTCTATTATTAACAACCACTATTATATGTATTGTTAATAATATTAAAAAAAATATAAACATTTAGGAAAAGAACTAATCTTTTGATATGATTTAATATTTATTTTGATTTTTGATAATAAATCAAGCCCATCAATTCAAAACTTTCACTAAATCTTAAAAATATTTCATTTACCTATTGTAATTTTATATACAGTTAATTACTTACTATATCAAATATATATAATATTAATATTAAAAAAATTCCTAATGGTAAGTGGGCCTAAGACATTGCCATATTCATGGTATTGGAGAGAAACGTCCAATAGCCACGAGGAACAGCCAAAAGTTCTGTTTATTTTTTTGTTTGATAAATAAGTTTGTAGCTTTGATGAAACAAATCACTTAACATGTCCCCACTCCCAAAATAAAAATGTGTCTTTAAAACAGGAGAGAAAAAAAAAAGAGTGTATATTAGCTTATATGTGATTGTGACATGAATTATTCATAGTTATATTTTATTTTCCATTAAATTTATCAAATTGTTTTTGAAGTTTTTTTTTATTATATATTTTTTAACATCAAACTAAATTTTCTTTTGGGCTGAAAACTAAATTCAATACTGCAATGTTGTCTCAAGACTTCTTTGTTTATGGCAATCATCTTGGAACTACTAGGGTTTTTTTTTTTTTTGGTTTTGGTTTTGAGACAGTATTCTAGTTATAAAACTCGTTCCATTTTTTTTTCTTAATAAGACATTGAAAGTGCAGTTGAGTTTACTAGGAAACTAAATTCGGTGTATTGGGTTATTTTTTATTGAGTGTTGGGTTTACATCACAACTATGGTCACAGTTGAGCTTGCAGTTTTGGGCTATTAGTGGGCTTGTGCTTAGTTGATCGCAGGGCTTGTAATGGGCCAGCTGAATCACGGACAAACGTGCCTCCAGAAAATAAGGTTCAAAGCCCAGCCCACTGATCAAAACAAATCTAAGGCAGAGGCAATAGTTTGATCTATTTGTTTAACCTTTTTATTCTTATAAAGAATTTTTTTAAAAAAATAAAATAAGATTTTATTTATTTACAGTATTATGTGTTTGTTCAAACTCTTTTTAATAAGAAATTTTCTACTTTTTTTTTTTTAAGAATGAACTCTTATCTACTTCTTAAGGCTTTTATTTTAAAAAACACATATTTAGAAATAATTCTTCTTAAGTTTAAACAAACGGACCCATTATCTAGCACTAACAGGGAAAAGGCACTCTATGCTATATTGTATTAAAAGAAATAAATATTTTTATAAGCAATTATTATAATTTCAAAATAAAAAATAATTAAAAAAAGGAATGAGAAGTTACTTATAAAATAATGTAATTTTAAGAAGTTGTAGAAAAAAATAAGACAAAAAAATAGTCCATGTAAAAATAAAAATTAAAAATAACTATCATAAGGGTACATTTCCTTTATACAATAGTATAGAGATATAGATTTATATAATTCTATATATTGTATGTTTGTAATCAATTGGCTAGAAGCGTCATATTTTCCCTAGTTACTAATTGATAGTATTTTTTTTTATTAAATTAATTGTTTGTGTAGAAGATGAACAATCTAACTTGATTCACGAAATAGGAAAATTTAATTGGTTTTGGGTAAATATAAATATTACGGAAAAGCGAATGAAATTTATGTTGGTACTTAATTTCAATGTGTGCATAATGAAAACACTGATGTTGTTAAGACAACTCTTAGTTGTTCTTATTTATAACATATTTAATAATGATATACGTATAAAAATCAATAGAAATTGAGTCTAATTGAAGAAACTAAACTCCCATAATGTGTTAAACTAGAGTTCAAATTCCAGTTAAGAAATGTGCTCACATTTAATTTCTAACTATGTCTTAAGCAAGATTGTTTTTAAAGAAAAATACACGTAAAAAAAAAAAACCACTTCTATATATATTAAACACAACTATGCTTAAGATTTTTTTTAAAATTTTTTATTTAATTCAATTTTTATATATTTATTAAATAAATTTTAAAAATTTTAAAAATTATTTAAAATTAAAAAGAATATTGTACCATAGAATGAATCAATTATTTATTGTTGAACAAATTGTAGAACATGGCACTACCTCTTTGTTGGTGTAGATGACTAGGTGTTGGGCAAATGTTGATCTTATGAAAATATATATGAACCTACTTTTGGTCTCTTGTACGTAACGTTGCCTTAATTAGGAGAGATTGTTGGGTATGTTAGGGCTAACAAAATGGTAAAACCAGATGTGTCGGGGTAAAAAAATATATTATCTTAATTTATGGTTATCTTAATTTGGGATTTTCATAATTGATTTTTGCAATGTTAAAATAATATTAAGTTAGTAGAAGTTACATTTTGTGAGTACAAATTAATTTTTAATCATCAATTTTAAAATAATATATGAATTATATTTATATACATTAAAAAAATCATATTTTATTATCTTTTATAGAGTTTATTTATTCTTATATCATTGTTCCGGTATGCCTAAAAGTCTCATGTCGCTTAAGAGTCGAAGCTAAGGATAGTTTATAAATATCCTCCCTCCTTAACAAGTGTCAAAACAGACAATATCTCAGATGTGACAATATTTCTTACGGTAGAATAGAAACAATCATGAATGATTATGTTGAGATAATTTTTGAAATATTTTTACAATTTTTGAATTTTTCCTTACACCTCTTTTTTCACCCCTTTTCTTTCGAATTCATGAAAGACTTGTACATTATGCGAATAAACCCTCGACAACAATGTCATTGCATGCTTTAGGCTAATTTCGTTAATGATTGAATGTGATTGTGATTATGAACATCAAGAACAATAATTTAAACTTATGAAATATTTATTTATTTTACCATCTTAATTATTTTTCTATAATACGTATTAAAAAGTTTATTCAAACAAAATTAAAAACAAACACTTATTTTTTTAGGCCAGTATTAAGTTGTCTATTCAACATGTAATGATTAAACTTGAACCGGATGTTTAAGTAATATTTAACCACAATTCAATAAAGATGTTAACAATGTGTTTTAATTCACTTTTTAGAAGAAAAGAAAAAGTCGATCAAACAAAAAACAAGCGGTTCGATTTGAATGTAATATCATATATGAACCAAATCAAATTGATGTAGTTTGATTGGGTTAGGCTCATTAGTTTTTATTTTTGAAAAATAAATATCAACTTGAGGTTATATAATTATTATGTTATATTGTTTTTAAATTATATTTTAAAATATTGTAGTTAAAAAAAATAATATTTTTGGGATAATATTCAAATCCAGGACCATCACTATTTTTTTTTTCTCCATGTAATGATTATTATATTAAAAAAAATTCAGATAAAATAAAAGATAATAGCAACTGACATAAGTGACACAATGATATGGAATAATTAAATTGTGTTAGGGATTTTCAGATGCCATATAATTGGGCCATGGAAATAAAAAATGAAGATTAATTGAGGAAAATGGTGTGTTGTGTAGTTTTCGTACACGAAAAGAAAGCAAGGTGTAGCTGAATTAAGATCCTCATGCTTTACACCTGAAAAAACTATTCTCAGTAGGTGCGTTTGTTTACTGCTATATGCATTTTTGCATTTATTCTTTTTCCTCCTTTAAACTCCCATCACATGACATCATCCTACATGTGCTGCTTATTATCATTACTATGTTATGCCTTTATCATTATGATTCTTTTTTCAAAAAATTATGAATTAAATTATAATGTTAAAAAAAAATATACTG